AAGATAATAGCCTCCTTTTCATTCCTTCCCCATGATCTTCAACTCCACTTTCTCTCCCATTTCTTATCCCAGGTCCCAAGAGCTAGATTGATTGACTACAATACTGCTGGTAACTGACTTTCCTAGTCTGTATGGCCCAGTTGACAAAACAAGTCTTCAGGGAGTACGGTTGATGTGTTTTAATTCCTTACTATGAATTTGTACACACATTAAATGACTTACACACAGAAAAAAAGAGTAAGAATGCTAAAAAGATAGAAATAAAACCATTATTCTAAATAGGTAAGTTTTCGCTGGGCGAGATTTCCTATTTAATTTCTCCTTATCCTTGGAGGAGAGCATGGTAACAGCCAAAATTATACACAAGGCCTCCAAAAAGATCACAAGATTCTTTTTTATTACGTAGAATATGCAGTTTGACATCTACACACGACTCACTCAAAAATCAACTTCAGCAACTTTTGAAAAGTAAGAAAAAAAAAATCACCATTTGGAATTACTCCAGAATACATGTCAAAGGAGGTATATGCAGCTGGCTTGATTACTATTTTCTAAAACTTGGCCCTAATTTCTAGCATTTCACCTTCACATATATTCTCTCAGTTAACATATTCCATTTTAAATAAATTCTCGTTCTGTGAAGTTTTAGGTGTGCTCATAATGATGAACATTTATAGTGGACAGGAAGACTTACCTAAAGGGCCTTTTTACAAAAGCAAACTTTCATTAGTCCAACTTAAATAATAAAGCATCTCAAGGCAGTTTGCAAAGACATAAATTTGGATTAAGATCCAGATACAATCCAATCAGGCTAGGAGGAAAAATAGCTATTAACAGTGACTGTCAGGGGCTAACAACTTTGCACCACCCATTGGGTTGGGGTAAGAACATGGGAGGTGCTCTGCTCCTAAAATTATTGAGCTCAATATTGAGTCCAGAAGGCGAAGGGCACCCAAGCAGAAAATGAGGTGTTGTTCTTCCAGCTTGCACGGAGCTTGATTGGAGCACTGCAGCAGGCCAGAGACAGAGACAGAGACATTGGTCAGGGAAATCTATGGGGTGTTGAAAAGGCAAGGAACTGGAAGCCAGGGTTTTGCAGACAGAACATAGGTACTCCACAAAGCTGTCACCCAGTCTGCACTACGTCTGCCCAATGTAGAGGAGACTGCATTGTGAGCAGCAGAATACAGTAGACTAGATTTAAAAAAGTGCAAGTAAATCGCTGCTTCACCTGGAAGGTGTGTCTGGGGTCTTGGACAGTGAGAGAGGTAGAAAAGTAAAAAGGACAGGTGTTAAAACTTCTGCAACTGTTGTAGGGGGAGTAGACTAAGGTGTCCTGGAGCAAACAGTCCCTGTGGAGGGCTGACAAGGGACAAGATGGGAATGTGCATCTTGTGGTTGCATCCTACTAGAGGTCATGAAAATGGCAGCTAATGATCCTTTGGATGTGGATGCTGATGGGATGGTAGGTGAGGACAAGGGGGACCCTAACGCTGTAGTGGGAGGGAAGACATGGGGTGACAGCCAAAGCGCAGGAGATGGGCCAGGCACAGCCGAGGACATCGTCAACCATGGCAGTGGGGAATCCTCGGCTGAGGAAGAGATAGACTTTTCGGATTTGTCCAAATTGGTATTATTGAAACAGCTGTGACGGAAACGGAGGAACTGGGAGAATAGAATAGAGTTTTTATAGGAAGCACGGTGTGAGGATGTACAGTCATGGTAACTGTGGGAACTGGTGAGTTTGTAGCGTATATTGGTGACCAGCCGACCCCAAAAATGTCAAGGGAAGGGAGGAGTCAAAGACGGACCAGGTGAAAGTAAGAACGGGGTGGAAATTGGAAGGAAAATTGATAAACATTTCCAATACTGGATGAC